TAATGGCTGAACTAAATCAATATAAATGGCGAACCGCAATTTAATAAAAAAACCTCTTTATAGAAACTCTACCTTGCGATGTAGCTTTTCTATACATAATGCGTCGGAATTCTATACATTAAAGTAGTATTTCTATACCGCGTCGAGTTTCTTTACAAATTTGTCGTATTTCTATACAGTTTTTATAGAAACTCTACACATTCCTCTTGTCATCATCATCATCATCATCATCATCATCATCATCATCATCATCATCATCATCATCATCATCAGTATATGGTTCTCTGTTCGTTATTGCAACAAGGTCATCGGCTCACAGGATTTTAGATTATTGCCGTGCCGCTCAGTATTTTTTAAATTTTTTTTCAGTATTGCCTATAAGAAAGATCTAAACTTTTTAGATATGTTATTTTTGAAAAAAAATTTTGAGTAAAATCTCTAAATATAAGAGCCGTTATAAAAAATGCGCTGCATTACCGAATGCATCGAAAAAGAGGGTTTATGCATGGGGATTATAAAAATGACATTCGGGTATGTTTTTTTTATTCATTTTCTTCAAATCAAGCTATAAACTAAATAAATCCACATTTCTAAATTTTGACATTTTTCATATCATCATGGCGTTTTTAAGTTTCTGAGTTCAAGTAAACTTTATATAATATATTAGTTAACAAATCTCGTACTTGGGTTTTCAAAAAAAAACGTTTAACAAAATTTTTTTATATAAGTTTTTAAGAAAATTTTTTCTGCTGGATATAATATTTACTAAATCGAATGTCTAAAAAGTATAAACTTTGCTTTTGAAACGAAAAAGATTTTTTGGAAATTTGGTTTTAACTGTGAGGTGTTGCATTACCGAAACTACTCAGGTTGCATTACCGAACTTTCTGGTTTTCGTCTATAAATGAATTTGAAAGGTCTGTTTTGCAATCATTTTTAAGTTACTATTTTAAGATAAAACTTATTTACTCTTTTTTATCCAAAAAATAAAATTGATGCAAATAATAATTCTAAAATCGAACGGAATTTATTCAAAGTCTCAGAGGCGTGTTATAGGACAGGGTAAAGAAACGGAATCACAATTAATCAGTAAAAAAATTTTTATTACAGAATATAAAACTATATATTGAACGTTTATGTAAATTAATTTTAAATAAATAAATAAAGTTTTTAACACGTTTATAGTTAACAAATGTGCTCATTTTGAATACACAAATAACACTATTTTTAATTATTTTAAAATAAAAACTTTACAACAATCTTCTGACATCTTTCTTTAAATCAAAGTAATAAATTTTTTAAGTATTTTTAAACTAATTTTGACTTTATGAAAAAAATACATACAGCAAATCGTTGTTTTAAACAATCTTCCCAGCAAAAATTTTACAGCGGAATTTTAGTAGACTTTAATAGGCATTTTGAGAGTTTCCCACTTTTTTTCTACTGTGAAAAGGCTCATTGGTTACATAGTGGACCACAATAGGCAGTCTTCATCATGGCTAGCCAACAACTAGCTTTTATATTACATGTTGAAGAGTTATTGGCTAGCCACTTTTAGCGAATTCCTTAAGAAACCTATGAGCAAAACTCTAATTAACTGCTCAAAATGCTTATATAGGTCCATTGCAAATCCACAATAAAATAGTTGCTGGGTTAATAAAATTATAATTGGGTATTATTTTCACAGATTTTTATAAAAACACAGTTTTTCATAGTTTGATCATATATAAAAGTTCAAAAGCGTTTCATTAATTAAGTTCATAGCCTTAACCAGAGAGAATGATATTGTCCTATTTAGTAAATTAGTGGGTTTTGATCACTGTTTTATTATTTTTTATAAAAAAATTGTATATACCAATAAAAATAAAATCATGATTATTATCATAAGTTTGAGAATCATAGTTTTTTGCATAGATGCTTTAAATGCAAAGGAAAATAACCATTTTAATGTGGTCTTGTCGACGACACTCTCTAACACAAATTTTAGAAAACTTTATTTTGCAGCAATTTTATTGATTATAACTAAATTTTTAAAAATCCTGTAACATTTTTTTATTGCAAAATTTATATAAATTAAACAGAATGAACACAAGATTTCGTAAGATACAAACTTATAAAGGAATGAACACACCATTACATCAAAAAAGAAAGTTAACTTAATCTTTGATCAATTCTACACAGAACTTCTTAGCCTAGCAAAAAGAAACAATCTTAACAATTTGTAGGCTATAAAAAAAGTTGTTTAGGCGGTTTAGTTTTGTTGTACAGATTTTGACGACAAGGAATGTCAACACCGTATTTGCCCAAGAGAAACTGAGACTTAGTGCAAATATCATTTAGAGAAAGTTCATGGTGAAAATACTTATGAAGAGCAAGTAAACATTTTTGATACATACGCTACAGTCTTCAACATTTTGAAATCAACTTTTACTGATTTATCTTCAGATGATTAACTAAAACACCAACGAGACACTGAACCAGATTATTTGGAGACACTGCCTAAAACGTATTTTTGTGAGTAGAGGGGTTTTTGAGTCTGCAGTTAATTGGTCTGAGATTGAATTTTATGAAGGTCCTAATGGAATATTATTTGTACTTAATAAACTTTAACTAACAGAATATGTAACGTCTTTAAAACTTAATGATAAAAATAAAGAAGCTATCAAACGGTCTTTTCAATAGCCCACTGAACGTGTTAAAAAGAGAGAAAAATAGCTAAAAACAATTAAAAAGGCTTAGTTAGACAAAGATGATAAAGAAAGACTTAGTTAGACAAAGGTAATAAAAAAAATTGATAAAGAAAAAACTCAAAATATATTCCTGGAGAGTTTTAATATGTTTATATGAACTTTTTATTATGGTTTTATTCTTTTGTTTTATATATTTGTCGTTTCCTCAAAACTAAGTTTTGCCTCGAATACAAATCTTTAAAATATGATTAACTTTAAACTCGTTTAAGCTTTGATCTAATTTTTTTTTTTGCGATTTTTTACATAATTAAAAAGGATGCGGATGATTGAAAGATATTTAAAACAAAATAAGTGAAGTACTTTTTTATGAGAAAAAAATGCTGGAAGAATGTTCAGCAATTTTTTTATGTTTGTTTCAAGTGTTGTAACCTTTTATATAATATAAATAATAAAAAATGCTTCACTTATCTGGATTAATATACCTCATTAGTATATAAACCAATTTTCAGCTTGATATGATAAATATTTTGATCACAAAAATTGCTAGTTTTTTCACTCTTATTTTAAATAACTGGCTAATCGAGACATTTTTTAAAGTTGATTTATTAAAATAGATTATAGAACAAGATTTTTGGTGAAAAATATAAATCAAAAAAATTTTTCTATCAAAAGTTTGCCTTTTCTGTGGAGGACCACCTTAAGCTTGAGAAAAAATTTAAAATTTATTTAAAATCCATACTTCAAAACAACAATTTTTACCATGTAAATAAATAAATTACCATGTAAATAAAAGCTGTTTATTTACAGTTTTAACAATTGAATAATGTTATTTAGAATTGAGTAGTTTTATTTGGAAAAAGTGCCTTAAAAGTGTAATTGTGTCAGAAAAAGTATTAGAACTAAGTGTATTTTTATCCAAAAATAAATTTAATAATGGCTTTATTAGAATGGAATCTTTTTTTGGGCACGCCATGTAATTTTAACTTACAAGACCCAGTTTAAATAGGGTTAAGTTGTACTAGAAATGAGATTATTTATTTAATGATCTTATCATTTTGAGACGAACGTTTTTTGTTTTTATAAAAGTTGATGCGCTTTTCTTTATATATTAAACATTAAAACGGGGCTATCTGGAAATTTGAATAGGTTACAAAATATTTATGCACTTTCAACGGCCATCTCACGAAGTCCAAAAAATTAAAAGAATATCCATAGTTTTTATAGAGAGGGGAAGACAAAGCAAGATATCGAACGTTTTAAAAATCATGGGTTATTGCAAATTTTAGACCAATGAAGCAGTTATATTTTGTCAGTATGCTTGTTTTATCATGATTCATTGCTTCCATAAGTTTTGAGTTTGCAATTAAAAAAATTGGGCATTAGTCATCGAAGCACGATAATAGAGCAAAATAAATTTGCGTAAAAAAAAAACTACAAAATTGCACCCATAAAATACCACACATTGGCATTTACCCTAAAACAATTTTATCTTTTAAGCGTGAAAAATAAAAAAACTTACGAGTGTTCAAATACTTGAACAATATTTAAAAAAACAAAAACTTGTATTTCAAAACACAAGCTATATATACAGATTTGTTTCCACTCAATTTTAAATTTTAGACCCATTTCGTCATACACTTGTTTTTTTTAAAGTATTTGTTGTATAACTGACAGATTTTTAACCGTACCATACCAAATGATACGAAGCATATTACGAGAATCTTTTGTATGCTTTCAAGTAAATTTAATTTAGTCTTTAAAATTCCTGGACCTAATAATAGAGCAATTTTTTTAAATGTAAATCATTTTCTATGTCAAAAGCCAATTTCTTAAAAAATTTTGTTTTATTAGGATGTTCTCAGAAGTCCTAACCGTCTTATCATCAGAAGTCTTTAGCATCGTTAAGATCTTCTGATGATGAAAGAAAGAAAAACTCTAGAACTAAAGATAAATTAATTAAGTGATAATGATTGCTAATTAATTCCGCTCTCCTCTATGTATATATATATATATATATATACATATATATATATATATATATATATATATATATATATATATATATATATATATATATATATATATATATATATATATATATATATATATATCGTTTAAAAAAACATAATTTTAATTGCAACTAACATTCAACTTAAAGCTGACAATCCTACAATTGTAGATTGCATGAGAAATTTCAATTTAATATTTTGATAAGTTTTAATAGTTCGTTACACTTGATTGAATTTTTTATATTGTAAAAAAAATTCAATTAAAAAAATCAACTAACTTTGTTTTAAATCAGTAATCTAATTAATATATAATAAACTTTTTTAAACTAGAATATACAAGTAAATGCATACAAATGCAATTTGATAAACTTTTTCAATAGTAACATATTTACAATATAAACTCAAAACACATTTTTTTCTAATTAAATCTTCAGGGTTTTGTCACAACCTTTTAAGTCTAAATTTAGTCTAATATTGGAATCTAGAGTATGTTGTTGTAAGTTGATGAAGCTTTTTAAATCTTTCATATACGACTTTATTGCTGGAACAAGACACTAAATGTGAAGATATATTTAATATAATACATACATAAGTTTAGTAAAATGCATAAACTTGTATAAATATATATATATATATATATATATATATATATATATATATATATATATATATATATATATATATATATATATATATATATATATATATATATATATATATATACACCAGGGATGCAGAGTCCTAAAAGGGCTCCTATGAAACAAAAAATTCTTCAAAAGAAATCTTGCTTTTAAGCGTGAAGTCCTGGAGTCTATGCCCCCTTTATACCTTGGACTTAGGGTTAAAAAATTATTGTTCTACTGATGTCTAAGTCTTGATTTTTTTCCCCATTAGTAGCCCTTAGGCCTTTTTACATCTTTAAAGCTAATGGATACTAAAAGCTAGAAAGAAGTAATCTTTTTGTGGCGTTTAACTCCAGAGTCCTTTTTAGGGATTCCGCATCCATGATATATAGATATAAAATATGAAAAATTTATATATATAAATTATGAATTTATATGTAAAAATTATGAATATTGTTTAAATACAAATTATGAATATTATATACATAAAAATATAAATGTAATAAGTGCAAAATTAACTATAAAACCTCATGATATCTTTGTACAAATATACAGAATCAAATTGATACAGTTTTTGAAACTACGCAAATTAGTTTGTGTTGTAATTGTTGAAGATATTTGATTTTTAAACTTTAAATGTTGTTTTGATAACAAATCTTTAATGTCTGAATCAAAGCATTAAAAAATTACATGCCATATTTAGAAAAATTTAAATAAGCACTTTTAAATTTTTCTGAGAAATGACACATTTTAATTGTATTCAAATGCACATTTTTACAAATGATGTAATATTGAGTTAGATATTATTGAAAGGTATGCTGTTGTAAGGCTTCAGATGTTGACATCAATAGAGTGAGGTATTTTAAAAGTATGATCCAGAAGATTAAAAACATCTATCTTTTTCCCCTAAAAACAAATAAATTTATAAGTAACTTTAAAAATTTGAACTCTATAACAATCACAGAACATTTGAAAGTACTTTAAAGAGCACAATTTAGTTTTTTATTTTCCCCAGGATAAAAAACTCAATTATCTCTTTATTTCAAGTCTTTTTTTTTAATTTTGCATAGTACATTTTGTTTGATTGCGCGATAACAAAATTTTCACTACAATAAAATTATAGTTGCTGTAAGTATCGTAATTTTAACTAACTTTTAGGACAAGTCTAAAAACTAATTAATAATTTAAAAGCTAGGTAAAATAATCGGGTTTTCCATGAATTTCTAAAATAAAAAAATAGAAAAAGCAAAAATTAAAGTATTAGTGAATTTCTTTGATTTAAATGTGGAATTGAATAGGGTTTGTCCATAAATTATACAACGCTAAATTTCACTAATAAACAAAACATAAGAGATCAAAAGTTTTTTTCTAAAAGTTTTGTCATGTAAAAGAATTAAATATTATCTACTTCTTTTTTTAAAATCAACTTTGCATTGCAAAATATATAGACAATCCCTAATTGAATGTTTAAACACTTGTGAAAACAACTTTGAAAAAGATATGAAATATATTACAAGAATAACGACATTTATCTTCTTCATCAGGTTTTGAAAGCAACTCTTGAAATTATACTATAAAGAAAAAAATAAAGTTGCTTTAACATTCGAAACCTAACTGAGCTGCGCATTTGTTTGAAATTAATTCAGCTGTCAGGAAGATATTTGAGAAAATTTAATAATAAAAACTTTAAACTAACTTTAATAGATAGTTTTGATTAAACTTGCCAAATAAAATAGTAACATTTAAACTAAACTATTGTAAATATGGTAAAACTATTTAATGTCTTTTAATTGTAAAATAAGCATTATTACCTTTTAAAGAAACAAAAGATAATAATGTTTGAGTCTGATTAAAAGTTTTCGCCAGATATATTACTTAAATACACATAATAATACAAGAGAATACACATAAAAAATACACATAATAATACAAGAGAAAAATTTAATTTTTTTAAACTAAATCTTTATATTTAAGAAGAAGACAACATAGCTGTTGTAAATATAAATTAAAATCTTTGAAATTATATTATTAATGTTTAAAAATATCCCATCTATAATTTTAACACTATATTTGTAAATAAAAAAAGAAAATAACTAAATTACTTGCAAATAACAAGTTCCACATCTAAACTTTGTCAATAGAGTTCTTTAAAATAACCATCTCTAGATTAAATTTTGTTCTTTAAAATAACCATCTCTAGATTAAATTAAAAAAGGACAAAATCTAATCTGAAAATAATCTTTATGAATAAAATCTTTTATTATTGCAAACAAATACTAAACAACCGTATACTTAAGAAATAAAAATTATAACTTTTATGCCAACTTAAAAGTGACTTAAACTACTCTATTATTTACAATATTATTATAAGCACATTGTATATTATTAGTAACACTATTATAAGCATATAAATTATTATTAATAATATTATCATAAGCATATAGTATATTATTAATAACATTTTTATAAGCTGGTTAAATTTGTAATGTTTTAGGTGAAATTTTAAGTAGAAGTTTACTTACACAACTTAGATTCTAGCTATTTAGTATCAGAGTGGTTTAAATAAACTTTTACTCAACTGTTGAGTAGAAATCGATATAAATCACTTTGATTCAAGCCAGCTTATACCTTTTAGGTATATTCCAAATTGATTTGTAAAGTTGGATAAACTTCAAAATTGATTGTACTCAAAAATATCTACACACATTTTAGTTAATTGCTTTTTTCGTGTAAATTTTGTAAATAAAAATTAAATAAAAGATTTTTAAAACTTTAAACACGTGTGTAATTATATAGGCTACTGATATATATTAGATTTCCATAAATTTACTTCTCAAAAATACAATTTTGTTTTAATATCAATAATTTACTTTACTCACCAAACAAATTTTTGTCTGCTCAATTAACTTTGAACAAAAATTATTTTGAGCCGGCTGACGGCATAACAACTTAATAAAAAAAACAAAATTATTCAAGTTACAAAACCGAACACGGAGTTGCAATAGCGAACAAAAAAGTTGCAATAACGAACAAGAGATGCTTTACCGAACAAGCGCGTTGCGATACAGAACATTTTAGTTGCATTACCGCACATCCATATGATCATCATCATCATTATCATCATCATTATCATCATCATCATCATTGTCGTCATCAACTTGTGAGAACTAATAAAAAAGTGTTAAAAACAGGGAATCTTTATTTAAAAGTTGGAGATTTGTGATGTACCCTAATAGAATAATTTATTCCATTTTACATATAAATGCAGTGTATGTAATTTATTCATAATAAAGGATTTATTATGAATAAATTACATACACTGCATACATAAAAGCTAAATTTAAACATAACAGTTGTAAAATAGGACATTAAAAAAAAAACACTTAACAGTATGCTAATGTTTTAAAGTGAGTTTTTTTTGTTTAATCTGCTCACAGTGCATGGCATTTTTCTGATATTTGAGAACATCTCTGTTTTATGCTGCACTACACAAAGTTATAAAACCCAGTTGGTTAATCGTAAAATAAACTGAACACTTAAATTTTCAAGGTTCTAAAAGAATTTTAAATGACATTAATGGTTAATAATTGGTTCTAAAAAATTTAAAGGATTTTAGAAATATTTATATTTAAAAAATATTTCAAATGGTACAATGGCTAATGGAAACATACCTGATACCTTGATGAAATCAAAGTTTCACTGGTGTTGCAAAGATAGAAAATTAATTTTTTCTAAACTTTTTTCTAAGATTTTTAAATATTCAACAAAGTTAAGTGTTAAAGGATCTTTTTGATTTAAGTTATTTTATATATGAAACATTTTATATATGAAAAAAATATGAAGTTTATTTATTATAATAAGTTAAAGTAAATAATTTTTATGAAAAAAATCACCTATTACAGAATTTGGATGAAAAAACAATTGGCTTATCTTTAGTTTTCGAACCTCACAAAATTGAGAGATGAACTTTGGTTAAACAATTCATAATTTTTTCTAATTTTTTTAATCTAATTTTGATTTTGTGAGAGACTTTGTAAACAATGTCTATAATAAAGATGATTGTTGAGATATAAAATAGTGTTACTTGTAAATAGGCTCTTAGAATAAATACCTTAAAACTTAACAACTGTAAAAACTAATAAATTACTAGTTATAAAAAAAGCACTGATTTACCTCTTCTTGTTGGTTTGTTGGTTAACTATTTTCATCATATAAAAACTTTTGTATGATTTACATTAGTGTCTCAAGTATCATAATGCCTTAATAAAGTGTATGTTAAAAGTTAAAAAACAACAGAGAGAACTGTTATTTATAAGCTTTTAAATATTTTATAAACATTTATAAAATATTTAAATTATATCAAAATTATTTATTTTAGAACAGCTAAGGTATGGATTAATGGTGCAGTTGCAATGACATTAACTGGTCATGAAGGTGCTGTATGGGGAATTGAAACTATAGCAGAGCTAGGAATAATCTTAACAGGTCTTTTATGTAAATTTTAAAAAATGTATTTTTATAATAATTTTTTAATTTACTTCAATCTCTTAATTTTTTTACTAAGTATTTTTTAAGTATATAAATACTATAAGCATCTGTATCTAATAGTATCCTCTGGAAGATTCTGTTTGGCATGCTACCAAGCAGTAATAGTATCCTCACATAAACCTAATTTGACATACTACCAGGCAATAATAGTTTCCTCAGGGTTGTTCAATTTGACATGCTACCAAAGGATTATAGTATTCATGCGTAAATTTGACATTCTAGCAAGTGATAGATATTGTTTTGTAAAGTAAAAAAAAAAAAAATTGAATAAAAAGTATTTTCAATGTTTATTTGATCCTAAAACTGACGATTTAAACGATACTTGTGCAAATTTAAAAAAACTTTGCTCATGAAAAAACTTAAAACTATTAAAGTATTTTATTAATTTAAAGTTTTAAAAAGTTAAGAATTTTTAAAATTTTTTTTGTTATTATATGAATTTATTAACTATATGGTTAATATATAGTTAACATATTAATTATATATTAGTTTATAGATATATTTGTTATAAATTCACTTTATTTATAAATATATTAACTTTGTTTATTATATATTTGTTATGTACTCACTTTATCTTTAATATTATAGTTTGTGCAATGACTTTTAATTCCAAATATATTATGTATGAAAATTTTCGTTTAGGATCTGCTGATAAAACTATAAAGATGTGGAGAGCTGGCAAATGTGAAAGAACATTTTCTGGTCACACAGATTGTGTGAGGGATATTGTTGCTATTGATAAAGAAAGTTTTCTTTCATGTTCTAATGATGGGTTTGTTGTCTTTTTTTAGTTTTTACTGTCCTAGTGTTTATTATTCTTTTACTTTGTTGTTATTTTATAATTTGTTTGAAAATTCACTTCAAATTTTGATTTTCTTTTTTGATTAGGAAACTTACGATATCTTGAGTATATATATATATATATATATATATATATATATATATATATATATATATATATACTCAAGATATCGTAAGTTTCCTGGGAATAAATGAGCACGAGAGCAGAGAAAAGCTCTCCTAAAACAAAATTGGGGAGCTGTGCAAGCTGCTCCTCATATAAATCGGCACTCTTTTTAACTTTAGTTTTTTTTGCAACAACCCTACATTTTAAAAAGCATTGAAGTATAATATGCGATTAGTTTTTTCATAAATGACATTGGGTTTTTTTGTTTTAATTACATAGATAATTATACTTTCGTAAGAAAAGTTATACTTTTGCGAGAACCGTAAATTGCTCCCGTAAACTGTTTTAGGGGAGTGTGGGCGAGAGCAAAAGGTAAAGCTCTCGCTTCCGGCGGAGGTCTGTATATATATATATATATATATATATATATATATATATATATATATATATATATATATATATATATATATATATATATATATATATATATATATATATATATGTATATATATATATATATATATATATATATATATATATATGTATATATATATATATTTATATATATATATATATATATATATATATATATATACTATACTATACTTTATATAGACTTGCACTTTGATGCAAGCTCGGTTTATTTTTTAAGCAAATTTAATGGTGATGTAATAGCGTGGTATATTTCTGTCAAGTGTAAATTTCAAGGTTGACCTCCAGGTTTGAATGGCTATAATAGATCAAGAATATTCTTTTTTAGTATAGGTTCTAAAGCTTTATTTTTACATTTCCACACAAGTTTTAAAAGTTCAGTTGGCCTTTCTTTCATAAAAAAAAGAGTTTTTATTTTTATAACACCTGTTTTTGAAAGTTTTCTCAGTAAGCCCAATGTAATAATATCCTTCTTTTTCTTGGTGAGTTTTTATGTTGCAAATATAAATAAGATTTTTTGTAAGACATTTTCTTTTGAGTGGGCATAAGGTGGTTTGTCAACAATTGCTTAATTGATTAGCATTTTCATGAGAATTAAATAGTATATTTTTATTATGAGAAATAATAATACTCTTGATGTTTGGAAGGTAGCTATAACTAACCATTAAGTTGTTCTGATTAAAAAGTTTGTGAAATTTGTGGCCTTCAGGGAAACATTTATCAATTATACTCAAATTTGTTTTTCCTATGTTTGTTCTGACTTTAAGCAATTAAAGTGATTTAAACCAGATTTAAAGAAGAGTTTCTTTTTCGAGATTATGTATTTTATTTCTGGATATTTAGAAATAAATTGATCTCATCTTTTAAGAGAGCTGCACCATTTTATAATGGTGCGGCTTTCTCAAAAGTTTCTTTGCTTGAATATATATTACTTATGCAATTAGAGATCATTTTTGGTATTGGTTTAATGATATTTGGTTGATGATTGGGATTAATGTTAATAAATAAAGGATTATCTCCTGGTTTCTATAGCCATTTAAACCTGGTAGTAAATTTTCCAATTTATGCTTGACAGAAAAAGACCACATTATTGTGTCACCATTAAATTTGATTAACAAACAAACCGAGCTTGCGCCAAAGTGCCTCTATGAAAATTAATTTCTAATAAAGAACTTTAATATCATCAAAGCAGACACTCCATAGCATTTTTTGTATATAGTATTTGTTGTTACTTTATTGTTGTTACTACATCTGATGGTCTCTATTGCATGAAACTTTTAGTTATGTAATTGGAGTGATAATTATTTAGTTTTTTTGATAATTAATTAATATTGATAATTATTTAGTTTTCACTATATTATTTGCTCTGCCAGTTATATAGCACACTGTATTTAGCAATGGAAATATTAACGCAATTTCTACAATATATATATATATATATATATATATATATATATATATATATATATATATATATATATATATATATGAATATATATATATATATATATATATATATATATATATATATATATATATATATATATATATATATATATGTATATATATATACATATATATATATATATATATATATATATATATATATATATATATATATATATATATATATATATATATATATATATATGTATATATATATATATATATATGTATATATATATATATATATATATATATATATATATATATATATATATATATATATATATATATATACAGACACACATATAAAGTAGAAAATTTAGTAGAAAATCACTTAGCAAAATTTTTTCTCATTTAACACTGTGTTTCATCAATAAAGAATCATCAGAAATGAAATATATATATATATATATATATATATATATATATATATATATATATATATATATATATATTATATATATATATATATATATGTATTTATCTATTTATGTAGGAATCGTGTTAATATTTCCGTTACGAGTGCTTAATACAGCTGGCAGAGCAAATAATATAGTGAAAACAATAATGAAATACTATTATATAAACTATGTTTGTATATTAGTAAAAATTGTTGGTAAAAGAATTAGTTAATTTGCAAACATGATGAAATTGGTTTATTGACTAATAATAATTTCCTTGATACTAAAATACTAAAAAGTTTTGATTTGATCACGACCACATCCCAAGTATAACATGCGTCTGATTGTCCACAAAGTGCCTTGTTGAGGTTAGTATTTTAAAATTAAGAGAGGATTGCAAAAGCAGTTAAAAAAAAATAAATATAAAATATGAGTAGCATCTATGGCTGTAGTTGCTCTCTCAACCTCTTGTAGCTCTCTCAACATCTAGTAGATCCCTCAACCTTGGGATGGTAATTACAGTTTATAAGAAATAAAAAAAGTTTCTCTATGCTTAACTTAAAAATTTTCTTATTCAGCAATATATTATGCATAAACATTATAGGAAGGTTTGTCTGAGAAAAAACCAACTATTAGATAGAATAAAAGTAATTTAAAAAGTTGTAATAACAAGACCAGATAAAAAAAGGTATAATTGATTTTAATAGAGTTGACTTATAATATTTTTATAGTACATTATAAGAAATGTCAAACTTCAAAAAAAAAAAAAAATGAGACTTTAAAGTTATCTTTATTTTAGAAAACTAATAAAAGTCAAATAAAAAGTTCTTTAAAATTCATTCATTCATTGAATTAAGATCCTAAATGGCAAAACTGTTTATTCGACAAAGAAGAATAAAAAAAAATAAAAAAAAATAAGAAAAGAAAGAAAATAAGAAAAATATTGAAATATAAGTAACAAATTCTAAAGAATAACTGTAAAAATCAAACTAAAATTGTTTCGGCATTTTAGATACCAGCCTCTGATTTTACTACCCTACCAAAGGCAAATTGAAAAAAAAAATGCTTTACATTAAATGAGTAAATCTCTATTTAAATAAAGAAATATTTCATTTTGCTATAATTTTCATAATCTAAATATATAAATTTAATTTTTTTCTTAAAAGATATTAGTCATCTTGTATTTTTATAGCATTTGTAGCATATTTATTTGGTTTGTTAAGGTTTTTTTGGCTGTTAATGTTTTGTTGTTAATATTTTTCTGCACCAATTTAATTTTTTTTTTTTTTGTAAATCTAATATTTGAACATAATAATCTTGCTGAATATTTTTATTTTTAATTTGTTTCTGGTTAGTTTATTTTTTAAATAAAATTATTTAGTAAAGACTCAATGATTTTGTAAATTGTATTTATTGATAATAATTTCCTAATTTTTTGAGTACTTATATCATTCGGCATCACAAATATTTTAATATTTATTTTCTAATTATTTTTTGATAATCATTTTTTAATTTTTTAGTATTTTTTAGTACACAATGCAATTATTTTTTCCAAAACATCCTCATAAATGCTTTTAGAGCAATTTAAAATTTTGTCATTAAAAAAATTCTTTTTCAGCTTATTGTATTAAAATTTGTTTAGGAACAGTTTGAGGGGGATGGGTTTGTTGTTCTTAAATTTTAATTTACAAGTTAGAAAAAATAATACAATATTTTTTACAATCTTTTCTGATTTTGTAAAGTTTTGGTACTGATTTTTTATGTATTATTATTAAATTATTTTGGCCTGAGAATCTATTTATAAATTTTTCTTATTTTTAGCTGTCTAATGTTACATCAAAGCATTCATGTGTATTTTTTTCTTATTTATCTTTCTATTAAAATAAAACACAGTTTAACTGCAATTTTTAATTAGTCTTTTTATTTTATTTTCTTTTTTCTTTTTTTTCCTTTCAGTTTCTAAAGGAATTTTTCCAAATGGCAAAAGCTTCTTCTCTTATCAAGAAGTCTTTTATATTAAATTTAATTAACATATGCTCATTTTCGATTTTAAAAAATCACATAGTTATTTAAGAAATAAATAAGAACCATTTGAGAATAACAGCATTAATGGTGTTTTTCTACTGGTGTAGTTTTTTTTTAATGATATTAATTTTGTCAAATTTAATTTAATTAACTAATCTAGCTATACCTGACCTTTTGAAGGAGCTATTAACAATAGAGTTTATTTTGAAAATTTGGTATAAAATGATTTAGTAAAATAAATACTTGCACTTAAGCAACTAATTTGATTCTGGCTTTTAAGAAGATTACTGCTGCATTGTTTGAATGTCTAAATTAAAAGTTTTGGTTTGGTTGTTGCATTAAATGTTAAATACAATTAGGAAAAACTTGAAAGGTTTTGTAATTTGTTTATTCAAAGTTTTATTTTATATTCTAATATTATTTTCTTAGATCAATTCGCAAATGGTTGTTGTCTGGTGAATGTCATCATATTTATAAGGGGCACAGCAATTATGTATATAGGTATTTGTGCTTTAACTGAATATAATTTTATTAAGTTTATACAATTTCAAACTAAGTAGTAACGGTTACAATATTCTTCAAGATAGATGATATTTCTTCAACAAAATAAAAGATAAAAGGCTGCTTAAAGAGCATTTTCAGAGTAAAAAAAAAACAGTAGTAAAAAAGCAAAAAAAGTTTGTTAGCAAAGTCTAATATTGTAGACGTAACATGGAAGAATCTTACAAAATAAGTTTATCTATAAATAATCGAAGACACTTAAAATCAAGTTTATCAATAGTTTAAGTATTTAAAAGGTTTATGGGATATAAATTTAGTTTTTTGAACTGACTGAAGTTATCAATGATCATTTATATATTGTGAATTAATGTTATACGGAAAACGAAGTTTATGAAAATTCTAGACTTCATCTCATATTTTTTATTCAACAATATTTAAACAAGTTGTTAGGCTATTCAATGGTTCATAGACCATAGAACTTAGCACTCTGCAACACAAATACTTTTGTGACCTTTAAAGCCATATATATATATATGAAGACCACAGGGGAAAAAAGGGCACTACTACTACTACTAAAACTACTAAAATAAAGCACACAATGGTTAGGAGAATTTTAGTGGAGTTAATCCTTAGTTAGTGGAGCTAATCCCTAATAAATTTCTGACTAAAAGTTAGTGGAGCTAATCCCTAATAAATTTCTATTAGCACTAACGCTAATTCCTAACTATTTGTAATGGATAAGCGAAAGTTAGTTATGCTAACAGCAGCTGATCCTCACAACCCAAAATAGTAGTATGCTATTGTTAGTGCTTTTTGTAGTTTTACTATTGTTGTTGTTCTAAAATTTTTGTCTGTGGTCTCACAATTATGGTCAGAATTTCCACCAAAAGACAGAATTTCCACCTAAATAGAATTTCCACCAAAAGACAAGAATTACAGAATTTCCACCAAAAGACAAGCGAGGGAAGCACAGCAACCATGCCCGAAAGCTGACAGCAGATATGAGAGAGCTTGTGATTGCACATATAGGCTCTTTCAAAGGGCGTTCATCTCACTACTCACGTAAAAAGTCTAGTCGCCTCTACCTGCCAGAAACACTCAACATAACGAAAATGTTTAATCTTTTCTGTGAGCAGCATCCTGGTGTTACCCTTTCATATGAGTCCTACAGAACTATATTCAACGAGAACTTTAATATTTCAAAAATTAGCAGCATTGACTCTCAGCTTGTTGCGCGTTCTAGTGATGAAGAGGATTTACAGGCACAGAAGGCTAAACTCTCTGTAGAAAAGGAGCTTCATCAAGGCAAAGCAGAAATATTCTACAAGCGGAAAAGGGTGACAAAGAACGCATGTAAACAAGATCAAAGTTCTCTCGCAATTGCTTTTGATTTCAGAAGGAGTTGCCTTTACCAAACAAGACCACCAACAATGTATTTTATTGACGCCATCTGTCCCTGCACTCATTTAACATTCACGTGCTTGCAGGGGATAATGTGTACATCTACACATATGATGAAACAGTTTGTAAACAAGGATCAGGCGATGTGGCTTCAATCCTGAATCATTTAATTAAACATAGTGTTCCACAGAATGTGAGGAATATTGAAATGTTTTGTGATGGTTGTGCTGGCCAAAACAAAAACTGGACAGTTTTTAGGTTCTTATATGCTCTTGTGCATCTTTGGAAAAGGTTTGACAAAGTGAAAGTAAACAATCTGTGGTCACTTTTATATGGAATGTGATTGGGATCTGAGCTTGGTAAACAAAACAAACCCTATTGATGTTCCTGATCAGTGGGTGGAAGAATTTAGGAGTGCTCGTGTGAGGCTTCCCCTTACAATGTGATCATAATGGACCAGGAGAGCTTCTTCAAAGTATCAGCCTACCTGAAATTACTGTTCAAACCAACCTGCCCTGTGCCAACTCGCCCAATCAGGGAAGTTGTTTTCTCTATATACCATCCTATGCTCATGTATTTCAGGAACTATTGGCATTGGTATTATGAGTCTGCTGTTGTATCACCTAGGAGAAAGACTCTTCCAGCAAATATCGAAACGATGTTAAAGTCTGACATGGAGAGGAATTACCTTCACCCTCTACCAATATCCCTGGCCATGTTTGAGGACCTGCAGGTGTTAAAAAGGTTCTGCGACCCAAGGCACCATGCTTTTTTTGACAATCTTCCTCATGATAGCAGCATGCCAAACAACCTCCATGAGGAAAAATCAGATTCGGATGAGGAGTCTTAGCCTTATTGCATCAAAATGTTGTAAAAAAAAACTCAATCTCTGTCAATAGTAATGATTTTTTTGTAATAAACAAGTAAAAAAAAACTGCTTTGTTATGGTGTGTCCATATTCAAATAATCAATCCTACAGGCAAAAAAAGACAAATTAAAAGTGAATAGGTTTGTTAAAACAAAAGAACAAACAGAAAAGCCTTTAACAAACAATCAAGACAATTATATATTTTTAAATGTATATCAGTTATGTTGAAATGTATATTAGTTATGTTGAAATGTATATCATAAATGTTTATGCACATATTAATTGCTTTTTACTTTTTACCTTCTATGCTAACCTTATTTTACTTATCTTTTAAAAACATACTATTAACATTGTTGTCTTCTAAAAGCATAGTACTAACCTATTAACAGCATAATATTCATATGTTAGTCGCATGCTGCGAGCATAAGTAGTTTGCACAGAACTTACATGTTACATACTTCACTCTACTAAAATAATAAGTTTCTCTTGATTTGCTATTATATGTACGTTTTTTTGATTTTTATTTACATTCTTATTTTCTACTTACATAAAAATAATTTCAAAATAATAAGTTTCTCTTGATTTGCTATTATATGTACATTTTTTTGATTTTTATTTACATTCTAATCTTCTACTTACATAAAAATAATTTCATAAAAATAATGTAATAAATTATCTCAAAATAATTTGGTAACTTTCATTTAGCATTTCAGTTTTTCCTGATTGTATTGAAGACTTTGTTTCTTCTGGTGAAGACCGAGCTATTAAAATATGGAAAGGTACTTTCGAATTTTAAAGTTTATTGATAATAAATACAATTTGAATGTTAAAAGTCCTTTTTTTTCAAGTTTTTGTATTATATCAATATATTTTAAAAAATGGGCAAAATTAAAAAAGATATATATATATTTTTTCATGCAAACTAACAAATTGATCACACAAAACCACCTAGATACTTTTCTTGACATAATAAAATAAATTCTTTGAAAATTTATAACAATAGTCAAGCCTTCCCAGGAAAGGCCTGCAGCTTTTTGTCTTGTATGACCACACGCGATTATAATATTTTAGAAAACCTGAACACGGCCGTTTGCAAGTTTTATAATAATGCTGAAAAAATTTCAAAAAAAAATAACAAAACTAACAAAATAAAAAGAGATTGAAATAGAAAAAAATAAAAACAAATTAATAATTTAAATTATTTGTGTACTGTTTTTATTTTTGTTTCTTTAGAGTTACATTCAGCAACAAAATTAAATAAGGCGAAGCAAAAAAAAAAAAAAAACAGTTTGAAGTCTACAATAAAAAAGATGATTTTCCTTTTCTTAACTTTTTTTAAGAGGATAGCAAAAGTACAAATTGCAATGTGTTTGTAAAATTTATTTGTATAATTTTAATATAACAACAAGGGTTGAATTAAGCGAATGCAAAACACAAAATCTGGAAAAATATCTAGTATTTAAAATTTTAGTTTATACAAAACTGTGTTCCTTGTTTTTAAAGGGAGAATCACCTTAAATTTGTTTAGCTAAAAAAAAAAAAAAAAAAAAAAAACTTACAATTACAAAAGTAATAACACTCTAGTCACTAACTGCATTACAAAAGTAATAACACTATAATAGTGTTATTACTTTTATAACGCACTTATAACTTAAAATTCATTCTTAGTTCAAGCAACATTAGTATTCCCAAATTTTAATTGAAGTAGAAAAATATCTAGAAAAATAAAGTGGATGCTCAAATAATATTAAAACTAAAGTAACTTATAAAAACGTGACAAATAACTTTATGAAAATATATCGTATTAAAAGTTTAGCATTATGAAAAACGTTACTAATGGACCGTAAAAACGCGCGTTAATTTTCAAATTACTCAATAAAAATTTTTTATTGGTTGATTTTAAAATTAACGATCGTTTTTACGTTGCGTTTTTCATAATGCTATACTTTTTATAAAGTACTTTTTTATAACGTTGTTTAAGTGATATGTGAAAGTTCCTAAAATTTTTAATAATATTTGAATATCCGCTTTATTTTTTCTAGATGCTTTTCTACTTTAATAAATGTTTGGAATCAATAATGTTGTTTGAACAAAGAATGAACTTTAAAAGTAATAAGTGCTTTAAAAATGTAACTTTCTTGTTAGCAAACTTTTAATATTTTGCTCCTTATAATCAAAGTACACAGCTTTGCATGAACTCAAATTTTAAAGACCTAATATTTTACCAGAGTTTGCAAATCGCGATCGTATAATTTAACTTTTGATATAAACTTGTTACATTAAAATTATACAAATATATTTGACAAACAGATGACAATACATATTTTCTCTTTCCTCTTTAAAAGAAAAAACACATAAAATATGGGAAAGTCCTTTCCAGTTTTTTTTTTTTTTTTTTTTTTTTCCTTTGACTTTGAATTTTGTTGCCAATAATAATATCCACTAAGAAAAAACAAAAATAAAAACAACACACAAATTATTTAAAATTCTAATTGTTTTCTATTTAAGTTTACTAATTTCTCATGTAGTTATTAAATCTAAAACAATTTTCAGTAACGCATATAATTTAACTTGCGCAAACAGCCGTGATCATGTTCTCTAACTTGAAAAATGTTTTCGTGGTCATACGAGACAAAAAACATCACGCCTTTCCGGGGAAGGCTTGATAGTTATTAATTTGCCATGTCTTCCTCTCCCCTCCCCTCTTTTCTCCTTTAATAGTTCTAGTTGCTAAAATTTTTGTCATAATTTAATAAAAACCTAAAACCAGTACTTTTTTCATTAGAGAAAAGTTGCAACAAGAAACATTTAATATATAGAGTTAACTTATTTGACATACCTAGCCCGCCAAGGATGAAATTTTATTATAGCCTTAAATTTCGAAAAACCTTGTGAGAAATTTCACGCATTTGCATCTATGTTAAAGTTACTTATGTTAAGTGTTTACATAATCAATTAGGTAAATCTGCGCATTTTTTTTTTTAAAGCAGAATGATGTGATTCAGAATTAAAATTCAGTTAAATTCAATTCTTTCAAAATAAATAAACTTGGTAAGAGTTCTAACAAGATCCAAGTTTGTAAAAAAAGTGGGCATAATCGCATAGTAATCGCTTTGTTGTATCAAGTTTACAAGCTGGTATTTTTTGTATTTAAGGTCATCACCAAATTCTCTAAATCTATCATTTACTAGTATTTGTGATCTTTGAAGTAATCTTTCTTCTGTTGAGTCTTATCTCTTGCAAAGTTCACTAGACCCACTTGCTCTTTGTGAGACTAATTTAAATTCAGCTGTCTTATCTTCTGATCTTAGTGTTGATGTTTATCTTCCTTTAATTTGTAAAGACTCTAATAGTCACATGTTTGGCCTCGGGACTTACATTTGTAATAATTCTTCCATCTGTCAGGAAACTAGGTTTGAATCCACAAAATATTCTTTTACATGCTTTCCTTTAGCATTTTTTCACTCTATCGCCTTTCTTTTTATTCTAATTGCTCCCCTTCATCTCAAGACTGCACTCTTTTTGATGTTATTTCTGATCAAATGGATTAAGCCTTTTCTCTTTATCCTTTAGCCAATATCATTATTTTTGGTGACTTAAATACCCATCACACAAGGCTAGGCTCTAGTGTCAGTGACTCTGCAAGTTTAAAGCCCCACAACTTTTGCCTCAATCTCTAACTCAAATAGTCAACTTTGCAACTCTGTTTCCAGACCCGAATCATTTACGTTCTTAACTCAACTTATGTCTTTTTTCTGATCCTAGTCAGTGCTCAGTTTCTCTACATTCACCCTTAGGTGCTTCTGATCATGGTTTGATCTCTCTAAAACAATTATCTTGTTCTTCTTCATCATCAGAATCCCTCTATAATCGTACCATTTACAACTACCTTAAAGCTGACTGGGACTCTTTCCGTGATTTTTTTTGTGATGACCCTTAGATAAAAATCTTTTGTTTTTCTGCTGACAAATGTGCTTCTTACATAACTTCTTGGATTCAGATTGCATGAAATTTTTTATTCCCTCTCATTGATTCCAAGTCAAGCCTCATTCTTCTTCGTGGTTTTTCTTTCATTGTGCTGCTTCAATTTCCAATCAAAACCATTACTTTCTTATCTATCAGCAAAACCAGAAAACAAATGTCTATTTCTCTAGAAAACAAATGTCTGTTTACTATTGCTAGAAACCATTGTAAAAAGGTTTTGTCTAAAGCCAAAGCCCACTATTCTCAGGTCAGCAAATCTCGAATTTCATTTCAAAAATTAGGCTCTCATAACTTCTGGAGAATCTTTAACAGTATCTATAATAAGGGCAAATTTGTTATTTCACCTCTCTTGTTCGGCTTAAATTTTGTCACCTTACCTAAAGCCAAGGCTGAATTATTTGCTAAGAACATCTCATCAATATAATTTCTTTATTCCACTACCTGATATATCCGGCAAACAGATTAGTCCATTGCTTATCTTTTGTATTACTCTAGTTTCTGTATCCTAATTTCCTGCTTAGACTCTTATACAGCTTATGGTCCTGACAACTTGTTTTGTGGTCCTGACAACATACCTGTTATAGTCTTGCCCAAGTGTTCTCCAGAGCTGTCGTCTATACTTTTAAAACTGTTTAACAAGTGCTTGTCAGAGTCTCATTTTCCATCCTGCTGGAAAGCAGCATCTGTTATCCATATTTTTAAAAATTCTGTAGAGCAATCTGACTTGTCTAACTACTGTTCCATTAGTCTTCTTGCGATCATAACCAAAGTTTTTGAGTCTTTAATTAACAAACACTTATCTTGAATCTAATGAATTAATTTTTGATCGTCAATATGGATTTCAATCTTCTTGTTCTACTGCTGATTTGGCTGTTAAATTTTAAATCTGATTAAATTTTTTTCATTATCGCAATAATCTTCTTATATTTATGAACGGTTATGTACTTGATGGGTCATCTACCCTTCATCTTTTAGAATTAACTCTTACTTACAATTATAATTAAAACAGTTTATGATGAAATTCTTAATGTTGGAGGAGTTTGCAATGTGAAAATAACAAAATCAATGATCAAAAGTGTAAATGTCCCATTCACACTAGAAAGATTCATTAAAACAAAAAAGAGAAGAAAAATTGAAAAAAAAAGACTGTATTGATAAAAAATTAGCTCTGCAGAAAATTAAGGAATTAAGTTCTAAAAAAATAAAGTTAAATCAACATCATCAGGAAGATATACGCGAGATTGAACTAGAAATAAAAATGCTGTCATGTATATTTTTTTGAATTTAGAGTTTTTGTTTGAATTTTAAATTTTTGTTTTGAAATATTTAAGTTAAAACCCAAAAAAATTTATATAATATATAATTTTTTTTGGTTTTAATTAGATATATTATTGTTATATTTTTTTAACTCATAATAACTGCGTTATATATTCGTTATATTATAAGTTTGTTCTTAGTTTAGATTATTTTAGATTATATCTTAGTTAGATTATATATTTGCTCTTTTGTTAATTTTCAAGAAAATTTATTCATATGCTAGCAAAATTTCTAAAAAAACATAAGGCAAACCGAACCAAATATATTGCATATATATTGGCATATGCATATTTATTTTATTCTATTTTTAGACTGCTGTTTTATTATTAAACTTTTTGTTGTTAATTTTATAAATTTTGAAGCTTAATCTGCTCCGGTGTTTTAATTTATTTCCATTTTAAAATGCTAGTAAAAAACTTACTTCACTTCATAGTAATAATATAGAAAAGTTTGAAGTCTAAATTATAATCCTGTAACTTATATAGTATAATAATATAAAAAATATGTATATGCAATATATAATATATAACTTTCATATTATTTTTTTCTTCATAATATCTTTGTATTAAACTGGAAAGCATTTACAAGTAAAAAATATAATTAAACTGGAAAGCATTTACAAGCAAAAAATAAAAAACTTAAAAACTCACACTTTAAAATATAACTGAGTCATGGAAAAATATAAAAGTCAGGGAAAAATCAGGGAATTTATTTGTACAAAGTGGCTGGCCACCCTGATAAAGTGCACTGCTCTAAAGAGCTTTCACCTCTTGTGTCATCTACTAAAATTCATTCTTATGTTAGTTGTCATTCAATTAAATCTCACCCTTTTACTGTGACTGTTCCTTAGTGCTTCAAAAATTTTTACTAGTTTTTTACTCAAACATCAGTTCTTTGGAATTTTCTTTCTTTATCTTATTTTCTTGATTCTTGCAATTCTTTTCTTGCTGATTCTTTTCCTGATGCAATCTGTTATGTAGTCTTTCAATCATTATCTTGCTCTATAAACTACATCTTCCAGTATTTTCAACTGTAGTAGTGGTTGCTTGCAGGCTTGTTGGAAATAAAGATGTTAAAAAAAAAACAAAAAACGTCATGATATCCTCTTATTTATTTAAAATCTTCCAAGTGGTAGTACTACAAAAAAAAAATACTGACCTAGTAAACAGTTTTTTGTCTGAAAGAACACCTTATTAGAAAAATTGCTTAAACTCTTCTAATAAATCATGTTTAAACCAGACAATGACATTATGGATACTGATCCCATCTACATAAGTGTGGTACCATTAGTATTAAACATAAATATATTTGTATATATTTATACAAATATATTTATTTTATACAGTGGATACTTTTCTGTAAATGTTAAAGTTTATATAAATGTGGGTGTATATGCATTTGGTTATGAAAAAAAAAAAAGTTACATTTATTATGAAATTTTTGTTTTGAAGGGTCTTAGGATGTATAGAAAAAAAGTGTGTTAACACAAGATTGAAGTTCGCATACTTTTTTTTCTTTTAAGTGTGTTTTTACAGGTAAAAAATTCCCCTGTAAAAAAATATATATTTTTTTTTCATTACATTTACAAATTATATTCTGAATTTGGTTTTACAATTTTTTTTTTGATTAGTAAAAAGCCATATTAAACTTTTTTCTGACAAATTCCAAATGTTTTATTTATTAGCTTTAAAATCCTAAAATGGGACAAATATTCATAAAAAAACTTTTTCTGACAAATTCCAAAAGTTTTTTCTATTAACAGCCTACAAATCCTAAAAAGGGAAAAGTATTCACAAAAAAAACTGGCAGAAAAGAGTAAATCATTTGTGAACAATGCCGGATTAACTCAGGCACATAGACCAAAAAAACAGTTTTTGGTTTTTTTAAATTGTAAAACCGGATAACCGGTTTTACACTGGTTTTACATTACAAAAGCGAGTTTTTATTATTGCTGTATAAATTAAAACCTACATGATTGATATACTAGAATTAGATCTATAAACTAAAAGAAAGTCTTTATATTTTATACTTATTAATTTAGTTCAAATTCAGTGAACTTAGATCATTTTTTCTTTTTTTCTTAACTAATCCATCTTTTTTTACGTCAATTCAATAACCTTTTTTTTTAAATACTAGTCATAACTAAATATGGTTTTAGTTAAAAATTATGTGATCTGTTTAAATTATGTGATCTGTTTAAATTATGTGATCTATTTAAAATAATACGAAAGTGAAAATTACAAAAAAAGTTTGCTTTTGTTGTTTTTTTAATTTTTTTTTTGGTTTACAATGATAGTTGTGATACATAATAACAAATTGTTTAAAAAAATAAACAATTCAGCGTATTAGCAATATAAAGCTAGGTTTGGGAGAGGAGATCATAAGGATCTTATCATCAGAACTTTAAAAGTTAAACACATTTGTTTGTAATATATAGATATATTGAAGATTTAAAATAATGCAACATACAAACATTTTAATATATAATATGTTGAAGATTTAACAAATACATTTTACATATATTTTTAGAAGAATTTTAGAATGCTGTTCATAGAGAAAAAAATTTTAAATTTAGTTTTAAAAACAGAAAGAGTAAAAAAGGATCAAAATTTGGTAATACTATTTATTTGGTAAGAGTAAAAAAGGATCAAAATTTGGTAATACTATTTATTTAATTGTTAAATCTCAAAGTCTTGCACCCCACAGATGGGGTGCAAGATTTTGAGATTTAACAATTTCAAATTAAAATACTTAAGCAACAATAACAAAAAAATTAAAAACAAACAAAATGAAACAACAAACAAAAATATCAAAAAAGTTGACATAATATTCTATGTTAGTGTTACTTGACTTTCCTGGATTCTTTTGATTTTTTAAAGTATTTTAAAATTTAGATATTGTTGAAAGATTATATCAGTATGTAATCTATTAAAAATAGGTAAAAAAAAAAAAAACTAAATGCAATATTAAAGTGCTTTTTTTAAAATTATATATATTCACAAAATTTGTGCTTTCCATTCTAATTGTTTTTCAAAAGCACATGTACACTATGGACATGTTTTCCAAACAAGAAATCTTTAAACTATTTATCTATTTAATAATGTATAATAACAAAACTTTCCATGTCTTTTTTTTTTAGAAAAATAACTGTTTTTCATATTCAAGAAAACTGAACAAAAAACCGGTTAACCGGTTGCAGTTTCCACCGGTTGCCAAGTCCTAAGCTGTACCTATCCCCCAAAAAATGGAGTCCGGGCAAGGGCCCCCAAATTTTTAAATATACATGCCACTACAGTTGTGGGTTTGTTGAGGACATCAATATCACTACTGCAAGGGCCTATTTATAAATATTTATAAATGTTTAGCCTTTTTAATATGTAAAATGATATGACTGAGCAGCATAAGAAAGTTTGCATTTTAATCTGTTTTTGTAGTTAGTTTTGCTTTGTATAAAGAGGCATGAACAAAGTAAACAACACACTGATGCAGTCAACTGCTATTTTGGAAAAGTCACAACAAAAAGAAAAATTGATGTTGTGAGAAGAGTTGTTAAATGTTTGAAATGTTTTTGCCGTTGAAGGTAAATCTGAAGAAATAGGTTCAGTAACAGAAACTTTTTCAGTTCCTTTCAAAATTTGACCCATTTTCTTAGTTATAAACACTTAGAAAATCAAGGAAATTAGGGAAGAGGAAATGTTTAAAATATTCCATTGACGACTCACAGATATTAGAATGTTTGTAATGGTTTTGTAAATGATGCAGGAAAAGACAGGAAAAGTACTATCAAAAGGCTGAGTGGGACAAATGTTCAGCAAGAGCCATTTCTATTAAAATTTTACATGCAAAATTACAGTCATATCCTTGAAACCCTAGAACTTATTATTCCGGATAAATATGAAAAGTGACAGACACTATTTTTTTTATTATTATTATTGTGACTCACTCCCAACAAGTCTGCAAGCAACCACTATTAGGTTGGGAGTTAGTAGAAAAAAAGAATTAAGAGTTATAGAGCAAGGAAACGATTGACAGAAGACTTGAAAAGTTAAAGGTTGTGTAAGTCAGGAAAACATGAAGATGGGAAAGAGTTCAAGCTTAGCAGATAGAATGGATCCAACTATGTTTTTGGACCTTGTCTAGAGGAGAAAGAACATTATTAGAAGAAGCAGCCCAAATATAACAGTATTGAAATTAAGCCATTACAATTTTAAATAAAATAAAATGTCTATTCAATATTTAGAAATGTGCAGGAAGGTGCCCATACATTATTCCCTAGCAGCACAAGCATGAAATTACAAGAAAGAAAATGCGTAAGATGGAAATTGGTGAGAATAAAGAATGAAGTTGTTCAATGTGGTAGTGACAAATTTAGAATTTAACACTTTTCCCCTATCATAGTAAAGTTGAAAATGTGCTTGAAAAGAGGGTTTTCTGCTTAGGAGTTTGCAGAGAGAAAGTTTAGTTTTCTCAAAAGTTTTCTGACCGTTTGACCGTTGCTGCTGTTTTTGTACTATTTATCCTGCAGACTATACTAACTACAATAAGAAGTAATTAAAGAGACAAGATAAAGTTGTCAAGTTTTCCAAGTTCATGTCAAATGAGAAAAATATATCAGCACTAGGATGTTTACTATCAATATATATAAGTTTCTTTCAATGCTGATATTGAATATTGAATTTTTGTATTAACATTAACCTATTCCACAAACCCATTTTGTTACTAATTCAGTGCAGAATTTTCAAAAATGGCCGTAAAAAAAAAGGCATTTAATATTTTGCCGAAATGTTTTTTCCTAAAAACACATTATTTATATTATCCTTGATGAATGTGTGATAACTCTTAGGGGAATGCACAAATCTCTTGCAAACAACAACAAAAAAAAAACTATTGCTTTTGAAGGTTCTAAAATTAATTTCTGGAACTTTGTGCTGAAATGCTTTTAAATTTGCGTTTGGTCAACACTGACACCACAGCCAACTAGCCTTGGTCTTCCTTATATATATATGTTTTTTTTTTATAAATAAAATGAAAAAATTATTATCATAAATATTATGAATGCATAATTATTTATTATTTCAATTATGTATTTTATAACTTTTCTTGCAGGTGGTGATTGTGTTCAAACAATTATTCTTCCCTGTCAATCAGTGTGGTCAGTTGCTGTTTTAAACAATGGTGATATTGTTGCAGGTAGCAGGTATGTTATTTTAATTTATGTTTTTTAGTTTATTAATTTTTTAAAAAGAAAAAGCTGGGGATAGGAAAAGCTCTTTTGTTAAAAAATAAATAAATTTTAGGAAAAAACATGTTTCATATCTTTATTAATTATTCATTATTAGTTCAAAAATTTTTTGTAAATAAAACTTTTAAAAGTTTAATTAACAAGAAGTCAGAGTGCAAGAAAGTAAAAAATTATAGAAAAAAGAGATTATCTAAGAAGTAGCAAAGAACATTAAGATATCAGTGAGTTTGGTTAAGCAAAGTTTAAACACTAATGTGTAACATCTTAAACATTTTTGTTATAATATTATTGTTGCTAGAATAATATTATTGTTGCTAGCTAAAGGTACATAAAGTGCTACTTAAAGACAAAAAAGTATTTTATAAATAAAAAATAAAAGACTAAAATTTATAACTTGAAATGGACTTCAATAAAAATGTTTCAGCATTTTGTACTTCTATTGCACCAATTAAAGTTTAACATTAATCTTGTTCCAACATTTTTTTTCACAAAGACCAGTTTAACACATTTATTTTTAAATTTAATTTATATTTTTCAACAAAACAATTATTTAAAAGATGCAGTAAAGAAAAATAAAAGACATAAAATAGGGGAATGCAACATTATGCCACTATTAGTATTAAAACTGATTTGATAAAGATATTTTATTAAGACTGATAGAATTTTAATTATTTTATAATAAGGAAAAAGTAATTGCATATAGTATTATATATTAGTATAGGTGATACCAACCAACCGTACTGGTTGGAATCGCTAATATTGAGCAGCTATATCACAGTTTAATTAGTGTCCTTGCCTCAGGAGCTAGAAATTTGTGGTTCAACGCCACCTCTTGGTCAGTTTTAAAACATCAGTAAGGAAGGAGGCGTGAACTTTCTTTCAAATACTCTTCCACGGTGCTCTGTAATAAGACCTTTAGGACTTCTTTGAGTACCTAAAATAAAGTAAAAAAATATTTACTATTTAGCAGAAAAAATTTAAAAAATTAGAAGGGAATATCAGTTTTATATTTCTTTTAAAAATAGTTATAATTTCCCCAAATTAATTAATTTTCCGCTCCTGTAATTTTGCTATGAATTCAACAGGTTTTGTGTATATTTTGAATAAATAAGTGCGTTAGATATGTATATTTAATATGTTTACATGTTAAAAAAATTGACACAAGATCAAATTTTTAGGCTTTTTTATCAAAAATCCTGCTGTCCCATTTTTTTGAGGACATTTTATTTTAATTAGAAATGAACTAGTTGAGTTGTTCTTTATTTGAAAAAAACTGAATTTATTAAATGCTACTTTGATTGTTATAATTTCTAGTTTTGCTGCAAAAATAAGGATGTTTAATTGGTAAACAAATTCAAATTTTTAATTTAAATTTTTTTTGTTTTAAAGTTTTAAAGAATGTTCCATTCAATTTATTTAGCGATGGAATGGTGCGTGTTTTTACTTGTAATGAAAGTCAATATGCTTCGCCAGATATAATTAAGGTATTCTACTCAATAAAACATTTATGTATATATATATATATATATACTCGTTTATATATATATACTTATATATATATATATATATATATATATATATATATACATAATTTACTTTATATATTATATATAAACTATTATTATAAATAAACTATTATATATATATATACTTATATATATATATATATATAATTATATATATATATATATATACTCGTTCAACTCGTTTCTCCGCGCAGCGGCCTTGCTTGTCAAGGTTCGTGTTTCGGAGTTATAAAGTTGAGAGAGGGTTATAACCACAAATAAGTAGCCTCCTTGTCTCTAGTGGCCTTCTCGGCCTTGAGGAGGTGAATTAAAATTAAAAAAAAATATATATATATATATATATATATATATATATATATATATATATATATATATATATATATAATAATAATAATAATAATAATAATAATAATAATAATAATAATAATAATAATAATAATAATAATAATAATAATAATAATTTTAATAATAATAATAATAATAATTTTAATAATAATAATAATAATAATAACAATAACAACAATTATAATGATAATAAAGTAATCTGACCTAATAAATAAAACCAACTATGGCAGCTAAACTTACTAAACTATAAAGTTTCATACGGTTTTCAAATTGGCATTGTTACCACTTTTGAATTAACTCAAATGAAAAAAGGTTTTAAGTTTAAACTCTGTTTAAAAGTTTTCACTTTGACGACATTTATTTGTTAGCTGATCACCAGATCTAGGGTTTTTTGTTGGGTGGATCCAAGATTTATTAAGACCCCTGTATTTTTTAAACTATTGAATAGGATCTACTTTTTTACTATCCTTTTACTCATTGCATATTGAGTAGGATAGTCAATCTTTGTGTTTTAAGTTCTTTAATAAATGGCATAGATCGCTTGTTATTAAATTTCCATGATTTCTTAGTTGCTTGACAATGAGTACAAATTTCTATTGCTATCTTTTGTAATCTGCTTTAACCTCAGGATAAGTGTAATTCATATAATTCCTTAGTATTCCTTAACGTTCTAAGCAATCTGTTGTATTTAATAAATCAAAAATGTTGCAGTTATCTGTCCAATAGTTAATATTTTCATTGGATACTTATTGGGTCAATAATATTTGTACTTTGGAAAAGTTTTTAAAAGTTATTTTGTATAGTTGTTAATGATATTTTAGTTATTTGAAGAAGAAGTTTCAAACCAAGCAATACCTGCGGCCGCAAAGTAAAAATGAAATTTCTAGAAAATTTTTTTATGTTATCTTAATAAAATTTTTCAACTTATTTATAAAGAAGTTAAAATAATTTTTAGTCTTGACCTTGGTGAAATAAAAGTTGATCAACTTCCTGGACCAGAAGCTCTTTCAACCCATGGTAAAAGTTTAGTATACATGGTATAATATACTGCTCAAATTAAAAAAAAACTAAAATTTTATAATTATATTTCATAATTGTACTATTTTTCTACTTTTTATTTTTTATAAAATATAGACTGATATTAAACTGGCAAAAGCTGTATTATTAAAGGAACACAAGATAACACACACACACACACACACACACACACACACACACACACACACACACACACACACACACAAACACACACACACACACACACACACAAATAATTGTAGAATGAATTTATGTTTAGAAAATTAAACTTTTAAATAACCATAATGTAACAGGTTAAATTGTGAGATTATTTAAAGTAAAATTAAAATTTTGTATCCAGGTATCTCACCCATGGACAAAACCTTAGTTTTTTCAATGATTTTATTTTTAATGAGTTAAAGATCATATGGATAAAGTAAAATAATGTTGCAAAAGACACATTGAATAACACACCTTAAAACTTAATAACTTTAAAAACTAATAAATTACTATGCCATCAAAAAAACACAAATTTTGACCACTTGCAAACCTAATGATGTCAAATGATTTTTTTTCAAAGCTCTTATAGTAACTGTTTCCATATGAAAATGTCACAACTCTCAAGATGCCTTTACAATTATAATGTTTCATGGTACCCATGTGTCATGGTGCCCTATGTAACCCATCAACTCAAATATTTTTATACTTTGTAAATAAGATTGCATGCATCACATAAATTCATTTGTGAAGTTTCAGCACTGTTATCAAATTGCTTTTTATATTTATATTTTTTGAAAAGGTTATTCCAAAATTAGCCATATAAAGAATGAACATTTTTTTTTTAGTTGACAATTTGTGTTTTTGTGTTACAGGTAGTAGTATTATTATTATAGCTTTTTCTAATGGTTTCTAATAGAAAAAACTATTCCTTACTTCCATTTTATTTGAATATGATTTGTCTATAAATCTTTAATCCGGCCTTGTATGGAATACTGTTGCCATATCTGGGGCGGAGGTTCTAATAATGCCCTTTCTCTTTTAGACAAAGTGCAAAAATGCATTGTAAACATAGTTGGACCTGCTCTGGCAGCCAAGCTTCAACCTTTATCACATCGTCGTAATGTTGCTTCTCTTTTTTTTTTCTACAAATACTTTAATAGGCACTGCTCTAAAGAGCTAGCGTCTCTTGTGCCATCTACTAAAATCCATTCTCGTGTTACTTGTCATTAAATTAAGTCTCATCTTTTTTCTGTTACTCTTCCTAAGTGCTTCAAAAAATTTTATTCGTCTAGTTTTTTCCTCAAACATCAGTTCTTTGGAATTCGCTTCCTTCATTTTGCTTTCCTGATTCATATAATTTGCAATCTTTTAAGTGGTCTGTCAATCATTATCTTACTCTACAATCTTTATCTTTTCTCTTCCAGTAACTTCCAACACTAATTAGTGGTTGCTTGCAGCCTTGATGGAAGCAAAGATGTTTAAAAAAAAATTGTAAAAATTCTAAGCAATCTACGTTTTCTGTGTATAAGCAATTAGTTTATAAACATAATTAGGAAAAGATGAAAGAACTAGGTAGAATTTTTTTTTTCATTATTTTGTCAATACTAGATGATTTTTTTGAATAAGTTATTTTTGCTACACTTTAAAGGTTTTATTGTATTAGGAAGATACTAAGAAATATTTTTTAATATGTATTCACAAGCAGAAGGAATATAAAAAGACAATTTCTTATGTTAGGATTCAAAGAGGTGTTATGGAAAATGAAGATGTAATTGAATAAATTTGTATTGATTATGTTTTATATGTATTATTACATATAATATATATGTTTTATATGTATTATTACATATAATAGAAAGTTTATTATTTTAGGAGTGTTTTTATTGCTTTCTTATTTGAAAAATACATAGTACTCTTTTCAAGTTTAGTTTCAGATTCAGGACCACTTTTAAAAATTAAACAATTTTAATTTATAATCACAGTTTACTTTATTTATAAAATAACAGAAATTTTACAGGTATTTAAAAAAATGAATTTTCCAATTGAACCATCTTGAGTTGAATAAATTTTTTGGCTTTTTAAGTTAAAAAAATAGATTAAGTTTTTATTCTTAATATTTAGTTTTTTCTAAAAAAAGAGGTCTATTTAGTATTGTCCAGTTCAGTCTACTATCTGGACAATATTAAATGTTTTATTTAGTTTACGTTGTTTTTTCTGTTGGTACACTTATAGCCACAATAGTTTCAAATAATCCTTCAGTGACCCCTCTCTGAATTTCTAACTAAAATTTTCTTTAAAGCTTTAGTAATTTAATAAGATCAAAAAAAAAAAAGAAATATAAATTAAAAGTATAAAATATAAAAGTTAAAAATGTAAATATAAATATATAAATGCGAATATCTTTTCCATTTTCCCAAATAAACTATAAGTGATATTTAATCTGTTTTGTCATTTTGAGTTTTAATTAAAAATAAACATACTTTGATTCCTCATCTTGAAAAGTATAAATTTTTAGCTTAAGCTTATATATGGTTGACAATGATCTTTAAATCAAAAGCAACATGTAACAAACATAATGGCTGCCAAACAAAAAAAATGTTAAATTGCTGATTTTGATGTAGCTGTATCTCATAAACCACCTTAATAACAGTGTTCAAATTTTGCAATTTCTATGTGATGTAGGTGATCTTAATAACAGTGTTAAAATTTTGCAAGTTCTATGTGATGCAGGTGATCATTTTTACATAGTATGCAAAAAATCTGAGATAGTGGGTTACATTCTTAGAAAATTTGCTGCTTATAAAATAATTGTATGACAAAAGAAATTTGGGGAAATAGATAGTTATTGCAAAAAAAAATTTCTATAAAAAGCATTTTTAAGAAATTTTAAAAAGAAAAACTTCTTTTTTTATGTTCAATGAAGAAATTTAAATTTTTTAAAATTTAAGCTTTTTTTAAAGAAATTCTTGTAAATTAATTTTTTGTAACTTTCAAAAAGGAAAAATAAAATTTTCCCTTACAATTTGTTGCTTTTTTCTCAAAGTTTATTGCATACCATATTTTTTTGTGTTTGTCGGTATTTAATAAAAACTGATAGCATACTCTTTCTAGATTTTTAAAAAATGCAGGATAGAAGGAGAGTCTTTTGGCGCATTAGCATGCATGCAACAGCTGCAGTATCATCAAATCTTATATCCATTTGTTTAATAAAATCAATAGTTAAGGGTTTGCCAATAAATGTATTTTTGCGTATAAAACGTGTGTAAAAATTCTTAAAAATGTGAAAATGATAAGCATTAGTATTTTTTGTTAGCTTACTTGTTGAAGCTGTCGAAATGGTTGTCCTGGATCATAAAATTTTAATAAAGCATAGGTTGCAAGTGTTTTTTTTATTGGTAGTTTCAAGTGAAAAATTGACAAGATGTATGCTGGATTATTTGCTAGCACATGGTCAAGTTTATTTTTATCAAGTGTTTGTTGTAGAATAAACTATGTGAGTCATCTTGAACATTTTCAGTTGAGCAGTTATCTGAGTTCTACCATGTATTTTTATGCTTATGTGACACAATGATTGCAAAAAGTGACCAACGGAGCAATCCAGTTATGTAGACCTGGGAGATGTAAAAATAAAAACAGATTGAAGATGATGTCATTTAGGTAAAAAAACATAAATTAATGTAAAGACTGTTTAGTATGAGTAGTAAAAGTTAGCAATTCAGGAAGAGAGGAACTAAAACTCACACTCTAGTCATCTTTTAGCAAATGATAAAACAATGATCTATGAGTAAACAAGTTAATAAAAATCCGCTGGTTCATTAATGGTATTTATAACTAAAATAATCGCACCATACAAATGTCTAATTAATGTGATACTATATATGTTCTAAACTCTAGATAAAAAAATTGAGAACTGATAATCACCTGTTTAGCATAAAAATATATAAATGTTGTTAATGTAACAAATTCATGATATAAAGCTCACAAAGCGCAAAAATTCATGGGTGTAAGAGGTAAAAAAATGTTGCTGCCCTAATAACCAATTAGAATGTTGTGGATAAATAGTGATCCCCCTCCTCAGGAATGCACTGCGATCACCAATGACGTTTTGGAGAGCCCGAGACCTGCGTTAACGCCAGTGTCAGGGGCGTGTCCTTGCAACAGATCTCACCGCCTTGAACAGTTTCAGTTGAGCAATCATCTGAGTTGTACCATGTATTTTTAGGTTAGTTGAAGTCTTCAATCATCTGAGTTGTACCATGTATTTTTAGGTTAGTTGTAGTCTTCAATCATCTGAGTTGTAACATGTATTTTTAGGTTAGTTGAAGTCTTCAATCATCTGAGTTGTACCGTGTATTTTTTAGTTAGTTAAAGTCTTCAGTCATCTGAGTTGTACCATGTATTTTTAGGTTAGTTGAAGTCTTCAATCATCTGAACAAAAACTTCAGTGTAAAAAAAAAGCATGAAAAGTTCTGTGTAAAAAAAAGCATGAAAAGTTCTTTGTAAAAAAAAAAAAGCACAAAAAGTTCAGTGTAAAAAAAAAAACACAAAAAGTTCAGTGTAAAAAAAAAAAAGTACAAAAAGTTCAGTGTTAAAAAAAAGCACAAAAAGTTAAGTGTATATAAAAAATTTTAAGCAAAAAAAACAAACTTATTTTAAGCAATTTTTTACTTAAAACAAACAGTTTTTTACTTGTCAGTATGGTGAGCAATTTTTGTCTTTAAACAAGTAAAAAATGTTCTAGGTAAGAATCTGATTTTTTGCAGTGTAGTTATTCACAGTTTTCTGTAGCGTTCAATAAAGAAATGCCCTTTTGAAATTGATGTTGATTAAACATAAATATACACTGGTCAGTTTTGTTTTGGATCCTGGGGGTAACTCTAATAGTTTTTTAAACGATTTTAGATATTTTTGATTTTTTGTTTTAAGTATTATAAATTGTTATATTTGTGGTTGACAAAAAGAGAAAATAATTGTCATTAAATGATTGTCAATAAATAAGA